CTCCTCCGAGCCTGGGCGCCACCAGCGCTGCTTCCCCCATTCTCCTCCGGCGCCTTGCTTCCACCAGCCGCCCTCATCTCGTGCTGCTGCCGTCTCCTCGGCTTTGGGCTGGTCGGTGTCTGCGCCAGAGGCTCTGCTAAGTCCTGCACCCCCGGGGTCGAACTCCTGACCGTCTCGAGGTTCTGAACGGTCGCCCTGCGCTGTGGAAGCTCCCCGCATTGTCCCCCGCGCGAGGTCTGGCACCGTGGCCCTCATCGTGCTCTGAACAATGCTCGCCACCGCCTCTTGTAGCGCCCGTGGGCTCAGAAGAAGCCCCTGTGAGCCGGCAGCCGTCGAGCCTCCGTTGCTCCCCGTCGCGGTGGCCCCTGGCTGCATGGTCGCGTAGACCTCGCCTGCATCTGCTTCGGCAGGCATCACTCGCCATGAATCCCACGCCGCTCAGTGCACAAAGCGGAGCCGGCCCAGGGCTCGCCAGCGGGTAGGCCGCAGCCGCTACAGCTGTTCGCTCCCGCCCATGGCCTGGGGCCCGACCCCGCTCCGCTACCAACTGCGGCAGCAGCAGGAGCAAACGAATGTTTTGCCTTGAGCCACAGGTACGGACACAAGCGCACTCTATCAAATATCCCCTGGATGAAACATTACGCTAAACCTATTCGCGAAATTGTAGACCCTTGTCACATGAGGCTGAAGCAGGCTGAGGCTGAGGCTGAGGCTGAGGCAGGCTGAGGCTGAGGCCGAGGCTGAGGCAGGCTGATGCTGAGGCAGGCTGAGGCTGAGGCTGAGGCTGATGCAGGCTGAGGCTGAGGCTGGCTGAGGCTGAGGCCGACGGCAGACTGAGGCTGAGGCTAAAACAGGCTGAGGCTGAGGCTGAGGCAGGCTCAGGCTGAGGCTGAGGCAGGCTGATGCTGAGGCAGGCTGAGGCTGAGGCTGAGGCTGAGGCTGAGGCAGGCTGATGCTGAGGCAGGCTGAGGCTGAGGCCGAGGCTGAAGGCATACTGAGGCTGAGGCTAAAACAGGCTGAGGCTGAGGCTGAGGCAGGCTCAGGCTGAGGCTGAGGCAGGCTGATGCTGAGGCAGGCTGAGGCTGAGGCTGAGGCTGATGCAGGCTGAGGCTGAGGCAGGCTGAGGCTGAGTCCGAGGAAGGCAGACTGAGGCTGAGGCTGAAGCTGAGGCTGAGGCAGAGGCTGAGGCTGAGGCTGAGGCTGAGGCAGGCTGAGGCTGAGGCAGGCTGAGGCTGAGGCTGAGGCTGAGGCTGAGGCTGAGGCTGAGGCAGGAGGCTGAGGCCGAGGCGGAAGGCAGACTGAGGCTGAGGCTGAAGCAGGCTGAGGCTGAGGCTGAGGCAGGCTGAGGCTGAGGCTGAGGCAGGCTGATGCTGAGGCAGGCTGAGGCTGAGGCTGAGGCTGATGCAGGCTGAGGCTGAGGCAGGCTGAGGCTGAGGCCGAGGCTGAAGGCAGACTGAGGCTGAGGCTGAAGCAGGCTGAGGCTGAGGCTGAGGCAGGCTGAGGCTGAGGCTGAGGCAGGCTGATGCTGAGGCTGAGGCTGATGCAGGCTGAGGCTGAGGCAGGCTGAGGCTGAGGCCGAGGCTGAAGGCAGACTGAGGCTGAGGCTGAAGCAGGCTGAGGCTGAGGCTGAGGCAGGCTGAGGCTGAGGCTGAGGCAGGCTGATGCTGAGGCAGGCTGAGACTGAGGCTGCGGCTGAGGCAGGCTCAGGCTGAGGCAGGCCGAGGCTGAGGCCGAGGCTGCAGGCAGACTGAGGCTGAGGCGGAAGCAGGCTGGGGCTGAGGCTGAGGCAGGCTGAGGCTGAGGCTGAGGCTGAGGCAGGCTGATGCTGAGGCTGAGGCTGATGCAGGCTAAGGCTGAGGCAGGCTGAGACTGAGGCCGAGGCCGAGGGCAGACTGAGGCTGAGGCCGAAGCAGGCTGAAGCTGAGGCAGAGGCAGGCTGAGGCTGAAGCTGAGGCTGAGGCAGGCTGGTGCTGAGGCAGGCTGAGGCTGAGGCTGAGGCTGAGGCAGGCTGCGGCCGAGGCCGAGGCTGAAGGCAGACTGATGCTGAGGCTGAGGCAGGCTGAGGCTGAGGCAGGCTGATGCTGAGGCAGGCTGAGGCTGAGGCTGAGGCAGGCTGAGGCAGAGGCTGTGACTGCGACTGTCATTGCCACTGCGACTGTCATCGCGAATGCGACTACGACTGCGAGACCAGCAGAATTCTACAACTGGATTCTCATCTGGATCTTAAGGGGGATGCTTCCAGATATGCCCCTACTCATCGCTGTTAGGTTGCTTTTGTCGGGATTTTTTGTTTGCCCAGCACTTTGCGACGCCATCGCGCCAGGCGCGCTGCGCTGCATGCGCTTCGCGCCCCTTTCAACCAAGAGCATTGCGCTCCAGTTTGAATTCAATCATGCGCTTTGCGCTTTCATGTGCTCAGTTCAATCAAGCGCTTTGCGCTCCAGAATACAAGCGCGTCGCGCTCCATTCTGGATTTCAAGCGCGCTGCGCCTGGCCTCAACTAAGCGCGTTGCGCCCCAATTGTGTTTCTCACTTATGTCCCCGCGCATAAGCGCCATAGCGCTGCCCTTTTCTCCTCCCCCCCCTCCTCCTCCTCCGCCTCATCCTCTTCTCCCCCCCCCCCTGCCCCCCGCCCCCGCAAGCGCGCGGCGCCGCCCGCTTTAGCGCGAAACGCTGTCGCGCGCACTGCCGCCATTTTGGCTCGAACGCGCACGCGCTGCCGCGCGGCCCGCGCGGGCCCGGCGACTCGTTTTGGGCGGCGGCCGCGGCCCGCAGAGCCCGGCCGAGGGCCGCGACGCCACGGGGGATCGGAACAAGGATCTGCGGGCCCGCCTCGGGGCGACAATTCTGCTTCTGCAGCAGGCCCCGGCGAGTTTGCGCGCCGCCGCATCTGAGGTCCAGGCGAAAGCGTTCAGACCGTCCGCGAGCTCGGCGACGGCCGCCCTGAGTTCGACTGAGGCGCCAGACCTGCTGGCTTAGCAGCGCAAGTGGGCTTCGCTGCAGGCCATTCGGCCGCGGCGGTCGAGTCGCTGAACGTCGCCGCCAAGAAGCACAAAGGCCGAGTGGGGCGCCGCGTCGTGCCAGCGGGGGCGGCCGCTAGAATTCAGGGAGGTCCTCTTCAAACGCATGCCGGCCTTGGGGGCGAGGGCGCCATCGGGGGATGCGAAACGCACGCTGTCGGCGTGCCTGATCCTACAGACAGAGGACATGAAAACGCGCATCAGCCAGGCGAGGACGATCCATGCGTTTGACGCACCCAAGAGGTCATGGAAAGCACGGGTGCGGAAATTGCAGAAACCCATCGAGATCATCGAGGTGTTGCCGCCGCCCCCATCGCAGCACTCGGAGAAGCGCCCCGCGATCTCCGCCCGAGCCTACGCCGACGGGGCGCTGCCAGTTTCGAGCAACATCGACGATGCGGCGATCGAAGCGATGGCCGCTACATTCAGTTCTAGCGGCAACGGGGCGACAGAACTTGATGTGCCAGTGTTGCTCTTGCCCGGCGGCACCCTGGACCACCAGTTGCAGAACGTGGCCAACAGCTTCTCGCAGGAGCTCCAGCGGCAATCGGATCGACAAGACCGCTTGCTAGATGCAATGATGATGGGGGGATTGCCGCCCTCTGACGGCAGGCGCTGCGGGCCACCCTTCGAAGGCGCCATGCGCGGCCAACGCCGTCTTCAGATCGACGACGGGCGCGTGCAAATGAGCACGAGGCTGTCTCGCAGTGATGAGTTCTTTGCCATAGCTGACGCTAGCGCCGATGAGAGCGGCAGGAGCGCTGATGCAGCTGCGCTTGCGCCGCCGCCTGCGGCTGCGCCTGCGCCGCCGCTCGCGGCCGCTGAAGAGCCCGCGCCGCCCCCCGCGGCTTTTGCGCCAGCGCCTGCGCCTTCTGCGTTTGATCGAGCTCATGGGCGCGAGGGGCGCGAAGAAGAAGCTGGCGGCCAAGCTCGAGGAGGCGAAGGCGAACGTGGAGGAGGGGAGGGCGGCGCGTGATCCCGAGCGCGTTGCGCTGTCCTCCAAGCTCCAGCTCTTCCTCGCGCCTGACCTCTCCTCAATAGCATCCACCCCTTCGCGCCTCCGCATCCCTTGCCTCGTCGCCGCCGCCAGGTGCCGCGATCATAGGAGTGCAGCGCAGTGCGCGCGGGAGGGGTGGGGTTAGGATTACAACGCAAAGCGCCGGGAAGGCCACGTTGCTTTTCTGCGCTCTCACAGCGCGGCGCAGCGAGCGCATTGAAGCGCAGGCGCTAAGCAGTATATATATATATATATATACAGCGCGCGCGCGCTAAGTCATTGGCAGGCCTACGGCGGCGCCTCATCTAGATGCGCCTCCGCGGGTCGGGGTTCTCTGCCAAGAACTGAGCCAGCCATCCTTCTCTCTCCGCGGCATGCCTGGCATTTTGCCAATCCTTGAACCTGCCGCCGCGCTGATGCCTCTGCCACATCTGACCGGGTTCTTGGACTTCTCCACCATCGCCTCCTCCGCCGCCTCCTCCACCGCCATCTTCTCCGCAGTATTGTGGCGGCGTCGTCTGCAGCTGTGCAGCCTGATGGCCTTCCTCCGAAGACGTCGCCCAGTACTTACGCATCAGCTTATTCGCGCGCGCCCATGTCTCAGCATCGCCCTTGCGAAGTCCGCCCTGCAATCGCTCCCACTGGTCTGGAGGGACCCATTGCCTCACCCACTCCACGTCTGAAGGTGTAGCCGCGTTCCACTGCCCAGTCGCCTGCCAGGCCTGGTATTGATGCCTTTTGGCTGCAGCCTCAAGCACCTTAGCCGGCCCCCAGTGCCGGCGCTGTCACTCGGATTCATGCAAAGTTGGCGGCCTGGCTTGCCATCTGCTTGCTCCTGTGTCGCACGCATAGGACTGGGCCTTGTCCACGGCCCCTTCAAGTGCTCATCGGCATGCTCCTTCCACTCGCTCTCCGCGTGGTCCGCGGGACCCGCGCCTGCTGCTCTTGACCCCGCCCCGAGCGGAGCCACTGCTGATTATGTTTCACTCGTCCGCGGGCCACTTCTGCTTCTGTGCCTGCTGCTCCTCATCCCAGTTCCAGCTGAGCCACTGCTCCTTCTCGTCCGCGGGCCACTTCTGCTTCTCAGCCTGCTGGCGCTGGTCCACCGCCTCGCGCCACTGATGGCGCTGCTGCTTCCACTTCTCGCCCTGCGCCTCGTCCCACAGCTCGTCCCACTTCTTGTCCTGCGCCCCACTTCTCGTCCTGCGCCTCGCCCCGCTGCTCGTCCCACTCGTCCTGCGCCTCGCCCCGCCGATCGCCCCACTTCCCGTCCTGCGCCTCGTCGTCCTGCGCCTGCCGTTCATGGTGGCGCGCCCGGCCCTCGTGGACCCACTTCTGCTCCGAGACCAGGTCCTGCTCCAACGGCTCGCGCCATGCATGCGCAGCCTTTGCCTCTGGCACGTGACTGGCCAGTGGCTCGACCAGCTTCTGCTGCAGGGGTGAAAGCGCAAAGCTCTGCTGCTTCATCCCCGTCTCCTTTGGCTGACTGGCTCGAGTCCTGCATTCCCCCAGAACCGCCGCCCTGAAAACGGCCCAGGCTGAGCTGAGTCACGCGCGAACCTCTCCGCACCCCCTTTCGGCGACCTCGGCTCGAGCACTTGGGGCCGCGAAGATTCGCCCAGCGAAGCAGAACCAGCCAGCGACGGTGGCCGCTGCCGCTCTTGAGCCGAGTGGAGCTCAGACATGGGACGAGGAGTGATATGAGGAAAAGGAGGCGGACTGCCCTGAGATATTGGTATTCAAAGATGGCGGGAAGCAAAAAGCGCCGCGGCACAAGTACGCGGCCACCTCCGGTTCTGCTTCGGCACATTGGACGCGCGCGCTGCGCTGGAGGAAGAGTGGCAGAATGAAGACGGTTACCACGGAGCACTTGGATCCTGCAGAACACAAAAACAGACTTGGAGAAGGAGAGGTTGAGCAACTAGAAAACATCAGGAGGGCTGAAGACATGTTCGGGATCAAGATCGAGAAAGTGGTCAGGTCCGAGAAGTATGGGGGGGGGGCCGACCTCCCCCGAGGACAATGGCCTCGGCGGCGCAGGGTGGGGCGGTGCAGAGCCGCAGAAGGAGGCGCCAGCAAGCGCGGCGGCGGCGGCGGCGGCAGCAGGAGCGGCGGGGGCGGAAGCGGCGACAGCAGGAGCGGCGGCAGCAGCAGCCCCAGCGGCCAACGCCCCCGCAGCGGCGGCAACAGGAGTCGGGCTCGGAGCGGCCGTCCTTTCCGCAGGGTCGCCATCAGGAGCTGCATGGTCCAGCTTTGCCGCAGCGGCTGGGCGCCCCATCGGGGGCATCCTGGGGCTTGAACGCGGCGGCGGCGGCGGCGAAGCCGAGCGGGAACGTGGACCCCATGCTTGCTGCGAGCACAATGGTTGAGCAGAATGGCGAATCGATGAGGAGCTGAATCGCCAGTTTCACCCAGAACGAGGAGAAGACGGAGCTCGTTCTGCAGAAGGTGGGCGACGCTTTGAATGACCCCAGGGCTCGTGCCTTGGTGAATGGGATGGGCCAGGTCGGGATCCAGACGGAACAAGTGCGCGAGCTGGATAAGAAGCTGGAGCAGGTCTTGCAGAAGACGGAAAAACTGGGCGAGCTGGAGCTGAAGATGGACCAGGTCTTGAAGAAGGAACTTGAAAAGCTGGAAAATATGGAGTCCGCCATGGACGAGCTGGAGTCCGCCCTGGAAAAGTCCCAGCTGGACAGCGACGCGGCGGCGGCGGCATCGAGCGGCGCTGGCCACACCGAGGGCCCTGCGCAACCGGATGGAGGCACCGGGTGGAACGAAGTGGAAAAGCTGGGAGGGCAAGCGCGGCGGCAAAAGGGGCAGCTGGAAGGCCTGGAAGAAGTAGAGCAGCCGCCTGATGCACTACAGTATAATCGCTCTTGCCCGCGAATCGAGCCTTTACTCTTGCGCGCGAATCGGGCCGTTAGCGCACTGCCGCTGCACAAAAAAAAAAAGATCACTCAAGCGCGCCGCGCTGTCGCACCGCCCCAGATTTCAGACTATACATGTTAAGCACGTAGTGCTGCGCCCGATCCCCAGATTCCAGGGCATACATTTGAAGCGCATAGCGCTGTACAGATGAAGCGCATTGCGCTACGTCAAACTGCGCATTTTGAGCGCATAGCGCTGCGCCTGCATTCCAGATTCCAAACCATACATTTGAAGCGCACAGCGCTGTGCATTTAAAGCGCATAGCGCTGCGTCAGACAATGCTTCTGTTTCAAGCGCATAGCGCTGCGCTCCAACGACGCGCCCCTAGCCCCTAGCCGCTACGGAGCCGCGTGGTCTGCGCCGCGACGCAACCGACAGCCGTCCGCTCGGGGGGCCACGGCACTATATACAGAACATTACAGATGCAACATTCAGCGTCGGCGTCGTCGCGGTCGCCACCGTCCTCGTCGAGTCTGCGTCGCCGCCGTCGCCCTCGCCCTCGTCGGCGCTGCGTCGTCGTCGGCGCCGCCGCGACGGCCTACTCATATATAGATCGAGATCGCATACTTGGCGGTCGCCATCGCCCGCAGCGCGCGCCCCGTCGCCTTGGCCGCCGCCATCTCCTCGACGGTCGCCATCTCCTTGGCGGCCGCCATCGCCCGCAGCAGTCGCCTGATTGAGGCCGGGAACAACAGTCGGTTCACCGGTCGCCCCGCAGGCCCGCTTGCGAAAAGGAGGCGCCTCGCCCCTCTCGCGCGCCTCTGACGCCAAACGGTTGCAGGTCATACCCGCCCACTGCCTCAGCTCAGCCACCCTCGTCCTCAGGTGCTCCTGCCGCCGCGCCTCCTGCCTCTACCGCTCCTGCTGCAGAGCGTCGGCCCCTGCCCGCCGTCGCCCTTGCTCGCGCGCCTCTGCGCTCTGCCGCCCCGCGGCCCTATGCCCCCCCAGCCACGTCCGCGATGCGGTTCTGGTCGTGGCCTTCAGCTCCTTGATGGTCTGCTTCTGCGCAGCGACCTTCGCGGCGAGTCGAGCCCTGCGCTGATCAGCGGCACCAGCCGTCCGCCAAGCGATTTGGAAAGGACGAGCGATAGATATTGCAGCGAGGCGCAACGCGCTGCGATCCTCGCGCCAAAACGGCTAAACGGGAAAAAAACGAACAGCGCGAGCGCGTGTGGTGACAATGCTTGCTGCGCAGCGAGCGCAGCGCGCTTGGGGGGGCCCATGGCCTTGCCGGACAGCGCAGTGCGCTTGGGAGGGCGGCCTAGCCTCGCAGCAACGCAGTGCGCTTGCGGGTTTGTGCGCTTGGGGGTGGCCTAGGTCTCGCGGCAACGCAGTGCGCTTGTGGGGCATGGGCTGAAACAGCCTGTGCGTTCGAATGTAGTTACCATTTAGACCAGACAGCGCTCCGCGCTACATGTGCATTGCGTCGCTTTAGCCGCTTGCAGGCATCAAGATAAACGCCCGCAGGGGCAAAAGTTTGCGCCGCTCGGGCGGCGGCGGAGGCGACCGTGGCAACAGGCGCCATGGCCCATCTTCTCCCCGGGAAGACTGCGAAGAATCCCTGGTTCGACCGTGAAGACGACGACCAAGGACACACGCGTGCTTGGTGGAGAGTCTCTGCATGCCCGAGGGGTGATGAATGCAAGGCAGCTTCGTGGAGCAAGGTGGGAGCTTGGTCGTGCCAGAGTCGAGATCAAGCGCTGTGCTACGTCGCGCACCACTTGATGATGAGTCGGCACCATGACCTGACCGACGAACCGGCGAGCCAGATCCTGGATGAGGAGGTGGAGCCAGAGACGGAGTTGGATAATTGCAATGACAGGGAGGTATACAGAAGGCAGTGTGAGGAGGCCAGCCCTGCCCGAAGGCCGCCAAACTTTCCCCCGCCGTCAAGAAGCAGGTCCCCAAGGCGCGCGGGGCAGCAGATCACCAGGTCCCCACGTCGGCGCAGGTCAAGAAGCAGGGCCAGCGACCCCGCCCAAGGCTTTCGGGGCGGGGGTAAGGACAAGGACAAGGGCAAGGGCAAAGGCAACAGCAAGGGCTACAAGGACAAGGACAAGAGCACGGACAATGATGTGATGAACGACCAGATCCAGCGGTTGACCTCTGCGGTCGGTGAGATCGCCAGTCACGTCGAGACAGTGAGAAACAACTCCGTTCCGAGCCTGCAGGCCGGCCGAGATGACGGAGCGCTGCGTGCCATCATCGGCGCTCGGAGGATGAGGAATGCGGCCAGGCTGGAGACGAACATGCTGCTTGAGCTGCGTGGAAGCATGGGCCGAGCGGCCGATGCGTGTCAGCGCTGCAAGATGGAAGCCGAGGGGATCGCGAACACGTTCAGGGCCGAGTGCAATGCCGTTGCCGCTTCGGGAGACGCCGTTAACCGAACCATGCAGCATTTTTCGGAAGGCCTCTGATGCGACGCCCGCCACGGGGCCTCCGATGCGACAGCTACGCAGCAGCGGCCTCTGATGCGACGGCCGCGTGGCATAAGCGCTCACGCGCTTCTGCGGCAGCGCAGCGGCAGCGCAGCAACAGCTCAGCGACAGCTTGGATGCTAGACAGACGAAAGCACACCCCGATAACACCTCGATACCACCCGATGACGCCACGATCACACTCGATAGCAATGTTACCGACATGGTTTCGAAGTGTTATCGATGTGCAATCGAGTGTTACCGCGCTCGAAAACACTCGAAAGTACTCGATAACACCTCGCTCACACCTCGATCACAGTTCGAACAGATTGGTATCGGGTGTTGTCGGGCTTTGTAGCAATCGGTGACAGTGTTATCGAGATGTGATCGAATGTTACCGAGCTCGATAACACTCGATAGCACCTCGATAACATGTCGATAGCGTGCTATCGGGATGTCTTCGGGGTGTTATCGAGGTGCTATCGGGGTGTTATCTGGCGGTCGCGCGGGGTGTTATGGGGGTGGGTGGGGGTGGGGGGTTGTCGGGGTGTTATCGGGGCGGTCCGGGTGCTATCGGGGCGTGGTCGGGCGGTCGGGCGGTTGCAGCTGCCCTCGTCCATCCTACCCTCGCCATTGATATTGCACGGCACGTTTGCAGCGCATCGCGCTTGGGCGAGGTGGAACGCGGGGAAGGTGGGCGAGAGCGGCAAGCGCTTGGAGGCGAGGAGAACGAGCGCCACGCGCTTCTGGGCGACGGCGACGGCGACGACGAACGACGACGACGGCCGCAACGATCGCGGCCAACTGGGCCCCAAGGAAAACCTCAAGACATTTCCCATGCCAAGGTGTGCCGCACTGGCAGTGAGGGCCCCTTAATTCAGCTCCTAGTCCGCACTCGGGGGGGAGGGGGGGGGCAATCTGACTGGCAATTGCCCCGACTCAATCCCCCGTGAGTCCCAGCGAAATCCGCTTCACCGCCGCCTGGGTCAGGCGCTCGAGAACTCGTGGGTTTCCGTGGTGCTAGCAGTCCACAGCCATCGCTTTACAAAACTTGAATGGCAAATGAGCTCTCCCTACTCAGTTGCCGCAGCGAACCTTGCCCTTGGGATTGGCCTTGGCTTT